AATTTCTACATAACCACTGAATTTCTGTGATTCTGATTAATTCAGGCTCCTAAGAACTTGATGTTTGTGTCATTATTTGATTTTTAGGAAAGTGATTATTCTAAACCTCATGTTTATAAAAAAATTTACTGTAGTTTGAAAATATGAGGCTTGGATGATAATATCAGCGACTCTTTTAAATATAAGCTACAACTTGCTTAAAAGTATCTTATGCAGTTAATGCCACTAGATACCTTTCAACATAAAAAACATCTTCAGAATTATTTTTATTTCTTGCATTTGCTGCAAACATGAAAGAAAAGAAAAATCTTATAATTAAATTTTGTTGCTGTTAAACATTTCTGTAGTAGAAGATAAGCATGTTTTATTTATAATACTTTTTATGTATTGTTTGACATATTTAGAAGTATTAAATATGTATATGATGATGCACAATTTTGAAATCTACAAAATAAATTTTGTTGTATATAAAATTTATTATAAATATTGAAGTAAAATAACAGACAATAACATTGCAAAATTAAAAATTTACTCTTACAAACACTTCAAAAAAGTGAGAATAAAATGCATTAAAAATTTAAGCAATATTTTTTATAATTTTAAAGTATATTTAAATTATAGTATTGTAATTTTATGTTCAATAAAAAATTGAAGAATTCATCGATAATTCTCTTAATTTTTTTTTTTTTGAAATTAATTAAAAAAATGGGAAACTATTGAGACCTTATAAGAGTAGATTAACCCAGTGGGCGGGGCGGTCCGACAGTCAGCAAGAAGAGTAGGACGATCTGGTTTTCTTTAACTGGAAACGTTTGTATCACATAACTCTTTTTAATTATTAATTGTGATATGTTGTATAGTGATGAGATTATGAAAGCCACAGTTTTTTCCAAATAGTATGTAATATATCTCATTAAAGCACTTTTTACTGCATTTCGCACATTTTTTTCACGCGTAATTCTTGTACAAACATATCTACTTTGGCAAAACGGTAAAAACTCTAGGCACAAAATTTATGAACTTAATTTTGCGTACAAATAACGTAAAATTAAATAAGATTGATAGTACGTGATGCTTTGAAATAAATAAGGTAAAATTAAAACAAGGTCTGAGAACTTTTTTAAAAATTTAATGAACCATTTTCAAGCAGTGATTTTCAAAGCTATAATAACATTACAAAACAATCATTTATTTGATTATATCATCATTAAACTTATTAACATTAAGTGGAGTATTTTATTTTAGTAACTTATAAGATTCAAAGCATAAAATTTTCTGAGCGTAATGAAGGGGGGGGAAGGTAAAATGAAATCTAGAAGCACTCAGATTTTATATTACGCCCAAAAGGAAACTTTTTTTAATGTTTTGTGTGTTAACTATATTTACTGAATATCATGTTCTTCGCCCGTAAACCATATACATTTGAAAGCAGCATATCTTTAGAATTTCCGCACTGAAGATAAAACTGTTATTTTCCGTACAGTGCTCTCTCTGAACTCGTTGAGTTTTTTAATCAAAAATTCGTTAAAGTTTTACAAAATATGAAATAGATTAAAACAAATTCCAAATTCAGCCGTCCAAATGCCCATGTTCGGTTGGAGGATTACATTATTCAAAATTTGATGCCTCTAGATACTGTCGTTTTTATCACGGTGCGAGAAACATACATGTATTCATGCAGATTCTTCATTATTTAATTTCTTTAAATATAATAATACAAGGCGATAATATTTGGTGGCAACAATTTGCAAGGAGACACGGACATTTATAGTAAAACAGCGCAAAATGCCGCTTCGAAACTAACAGCCTTTCTAGGCTACCGACCCTTTGGGCTAATAATTAAATAACAATAAATAAAAAATCTTATGCAGAACTAAAAATAAATTTAAAAAAATAATCACTATAAAATACAAGCAAAATTAATTATTACGGTTAAATACAATTTTAATATTAGAATTAAATGTATAAAAATTAAGGAGTCAAAAAAAGTGTTTATTCCTATGATGTATTATGAAATATAGTTGAATAAAATTCCTTATAGAAATTGTGCTATAATACTCATCTATAATTTTAAAAAAGCAGCACAATTTAGAATTTTAAAAACAAAACTTTCAAAAATTCGTTTTTAATATTTTTAGTATTTTTTACTTATTTACACCATAAAAAAGCATAAAAATTGCAAGAGAAAATTGCTTGTTTGAAATGTTCTATTAGTTCAGATTTAAAATATTATTTCTTTTCTGAAAGAAGTATTATAAATTTCCTTACAGCATAAGAAAAACTAAAAAAAATATCCAGTCCTGAAAGCATGCAATAGCTTTATAATTATTTGGAACGTTAACTATGCTTGATAAATATGCTAAATTTTTAAAAATCAATCTCAATTTCAAAATTAAAAATATGTAGAAATTCTAATTTGTGAAATGAGCGCTACAACCAGCTTTTTCTTGTCAATTATACACGCTGCAATAGGCAACCACAGTTAAATTTCTGCAAGTCGTCCCTACTCCTTCGGATGCGATCAAAGTGACAACCGCCAACGCCTCAGACGAGGGAGAAAACCCGTTTGGGTTAGTCTATTTCTTATAAGGTCCATGCTTGTCATGCCATCGTATCTAGTGTTTTGTTATTGATGGTTACAGTTTGTTATTCTTGCAGGAAGGGAAATTTATGTGCGTTAAGTGACAGCGAGCATAATAGAGTGGAAATACTGAGATGAACTGCTGAAGCACGCCCTATACTATTGTTTTCTCACAGTATCCACTAATGTAACCAAATACGAGGGACAAAAAGTGTCACCAACAACTTTATGTTCGTTCTTAGGAGTCAGATTCAGACACCTGACACGCATTCCGGTTCATGTTTTTGCACCTGACACACATTCCCATTCATGACTATAATTATTTAGTATTTACTCATCTTTTACCTTCGTAACCTATCGCATTTTTAATTCTCTCATATCACATTTGTTTCACGACTGATTTAATTTTTTTAATATATTTATACAGCAGGGACGTTGTCAAAGCGAACGCTCTCTCTCGCCACGATTCTCATGCAACTCTTCCTTCTTTCTCAGGCACGCATTTCCGTTCACACCCTTTTTTTACCATTATCTGTATTCTCACCAGTGATAATTTAAATTAAAAGAACATTTTTTAATCTACGACCCTTTGAAATAGTGTATTATACTGCACACAAAGAGTATTTATTTCTTTTCTTACTCAGCCTTTGGAGGATTAGAGTAATTCTTCAAAATCCGTTACTTTCCCTACGAACGAAACAATATGAAGTATAGTATTTTGCATTATTTTATGGATCCCTATAACATGTAACATACTGCAGCCTCGAAGATACTTCATTTTACTTTTGCTCAAATTTCAGACGCACAATTAATCTTCGGTATTTTTTTCCGTAATTAAGCATAAGGTTTGGAATAATTATAAATGGTCATTACTAAAAATTAAACTTTTTGGATAAAATTTAATGTTCAAAATATAGCTGGCGTGAGGGTATAAAATTAAAAATTTTGTTTAAAAATGTACCGTATTTTTTCGCCGTATAAGACGCACCGGCATATAAGACGCACCCAATTTTAAAGGAGGCAAATCTAGAAAAAAAAGATTATGAACCAAATTCTCTAGTAAAATATTTTATATCAACTGTATAAAGTTAACAGCAGTTTAAGAAAAATTTTATGTCAACGGTATTCCTGCGGTAAGGTATGTATGCAGAGGTCATGGAGGTAGGAAGCAGCGGAGGGCTTTTGTATTTGCCGTATAAGACGCAGGCACTTTTTCCCCCCTGATTTTGGGGGAGAAAAAGTGCGTCTTATACGGCGAAAAATACGGTAACTGTAGCAAAATTATTTAGGATAAATATTTTTATTCGGATATAAAGATCAATATTGATTAACTGAATGAAAAGCATATATCGCAATAACGAAAAATGCAAAATTTATTATTTTTAGTATTTACTCATCTTTTACCCTTCGCAACCTATCGCATTTTTAATTCTCTCATATCACATTTGTTTCACGAATGATTTAATTTTTTTAATATATTTTTTACTTATTTAATAGCAATTGACAGCATATTTTTATATTTTATTTAACTTTAATTTCTCGTAATTTAGTGTTTTATTTATTATTATTTTGTTCATGCAGTTTTTATACAAGGTCCGGCTATTAATTTCCAGGACTGACGTAACTGTAGGAGAACGAAAAGCCGGAAGATGGCGTTAATGATTGCATACTGAAGAGCGTTTTCTTGTGCATGTGCAGTGCAATCGGTGCCATTCTGAAGTAAGTGGTTCTGGTGGAAAGGTGCATTAAAACGTAGCTTTTAAATTCCTATTGTCAAAGTGAAAATGGAGCAATGAATTAACATTAAATTTGCTTCAAATTGGACAAGACAGCTGCGGAAACCTAAAAAATGTTAAAAAAACAGTTTACGCGAGGAAGCATTATCCCGCTCAAGAACTTTTGAATGTTTTAAACGATTTCGGTACGGGTGCGAATGCATCGAAGATGATCCACACACAGGTCGGCTGCAGTCCGTACGCACGCCGGAAGCAATTGAAAAAGTTCGCGATATGGTGAAATGTGATCGTCGATTGACTATTCGAGTACTCGCCAATGAATTCAACATGGACAAAGAGACGGTTCGGCGAATTTTGGCACAAGACCTAGGCAAACGCAAGATTTGTTCCAGATTCGTTCCTCAGCATTTAAGGGACGAACAAAAACAATTGAGACTGGACGCATGTGGTGAACTTATGGACAACGCTGATACTGACCCTGCATTCCTGGATAGGATAATCATGGGAGACGAGTCTTGGTGTTATCAATATGACCCTGAAACCAAGTGTCAAAACTCCTAATGGCAGCCTCCAAGTTCACCAAGGCAGAAAAAATTTCGATTTGAAAGGTCCAAAATCAAGATCATGTCATCGCTTTCTTCGATTGCAATGGACTCATTCATCATGAATTTCTTCCTCCTAACATGACTATCAATGGACAGTTCTACACAGAAGTTCTTGACCAACTTCGAAAACGAATTCGTAGAGTGAGGCCTTTTAAAAAAAATGGGAGTTGGCTGCTGCTACATGACAATGCCTGCCCACACATTGCATTGCCTGTAAGGCAATTCTTAGCCCAGCATGATGTTGAAATGCAGCATCCACCATACTCTTCAGACCTAGCACTCGCAGACTTTTTCCTGTTTCCTAAGCTGAAAAATTTGATGAAGGGAACAAGATTTCAGGATGTTGAAGCCATCGAGAAACGTCACTATTACAGAGAATTTCAAAAGAGGACTTTAAAACTTCTTTTCGAAATTTGTACAGCCGAGCACGGACGTGCATTACGGCTGATGGGGATTACTTTGAATCATATTAAATGGCTACGCGTTTAACCTTTTTTGCTTCTGAGTTATTCCATGAGTCCTGGAAATTAATAGCCGGACGTTGTATGTCATCCCTAATGGGTTAACACAGCGCTCAGGCACTTCTGATTTTAGAAATTAAGCCCACAGCATCGAAAGATATTTCAGAATAACGTATCCTGTCTGCATACTGATGACCAGTTCTTTTGAAATCTGATAGACTAAAGGACACACTCACTCCTGTTTTTGTGTGGAGAATAGAGACAGCATTAAAAAAAAAAAAAAAAAAGCACAAAACGTCACAAAAAGATATAAGAAAGAGCTTTTCTTTTATGCGGCTAACAGGGACCGCATAAAGAAAGTCTCAAGTTAAAAATAACTCAAAATCTGATGAAATAACTAGGAAATGCCTTCTTAAACGAAATCAAGACACGAGGCTCAACAGCTACTTGGAATCTCGCCAAACCTTCTAGATGATTTAGAAAATACACATGCGAACACATTTAAATGTTATTTATATATGCCCTTATTTTACACATTTTTTTTTTTTTTTTTTTTAACGCATAACCATTATCCCTCATAGTCTGACAATACACGAACTTTCTTGTGGTAAACTGGTTCAAAATCGCTTTCGTCACTTGAAGATACTACCTCGCACTCGTTTAGAGAGTTGATTTTTTCAGTTACCATGTAGTCGGTGATTGGTTTTTTCGAAGATTGTTGTTTCACTAGACGCTTGTATATGTCTCGGTAGCCATATATACAAGATTGAAGCTCCTTTTGGAATTTTGAAGTTCTTTTAGAATTGGCATGGATTGCAAGAAAATGACATTCTAATTTATGGCAAAGTTGGTGTCCTGCATAGATTTTATCTGCTGTCATAGAATTTTATAATTATGTTACAATTTGATTGAAATTTTCATATACCGTGAAAAAAAAAAAAAAAAAAAAAAAAAAAAAAAATTGCACAGATTAAAAAAAACCGCACAAAAACAGGTTTGAGTGTTTTCGATTTTTGGAGCCGCCATTTTGCAACAAAAACAAAAGTACCGATTTTAAATAAAAGCCACACCGAAAAGCATACCTACATCAGCTCCCATCTCAATAGATTTATTTTTCTCGACTTACTGATTTTAAATACGGAACACAGAAGAATACAAACGGAATGAATTGTCAATCTCCAATAACTTTTAAAATCTAGAAAGCTCAACCGACACTCTCTAACCAGGAGCAATGAATGTTACCAATATACTCGAAGAAACTCTAATCTCAATCGAAATAAGTGTATCTTTTCGAACTTCAGAGCCCTCTAATTGTGAAATCCGAAAAATGAAGCACAGCATTGAATTGAAAACTATCCCATCCAATGATTTATACAACCACTTTTTTCCCCAATTCAAATTTTTAAACACTTGAAATTCCAACCTTAGAGAGAAAGACATGGTAGACAATATGCATAAGCAAAAATGACTTATGACTTATGACTTACTTTTTTCTGGTCATTAACTACTAAAGAGTTTTTGCCAGTAGATCGCATTAAAGTGCACTAGGCAAAGATATTTTCAAATAAATGGTACTAGGGAAGTACCAACACCCGTGGGCGAAGAAAATTCAGCTGCGTGAGCAGGCATATCTTAATACTTACGAAAGTAGGCGTTCATCATAAAAATTGTGCAGTGGTAAGCAATGGCATTAAATTGAAGCATGTAGGCAGGTTCAGTGAGTTGTATGGCAAATGCAGGTGGTGAGCTCAATATAGCTAGTAAGTGCAGGATAAGCAATAGTGAGACATCATGAAAATGGCGCGAAGACAGTTTGAAGCTGTGAATGGCATAAGAGTTCAAAGTCCTTCAGAAGTATGCAGTAGTTAGATAGGCCGTAAAAAGTTCAAAAGTTCGTAGAATCATACGATAAAGTAAAAATTCATACAAAATAATTTTTTAAAAAATGAAATAGTAACATAAAAATCTTGAATAAAAAATTTCTTGATTAACATAAGTATAAGATGCCAACACAAATAATAGGATAGAGTCCAATTTTTCTGTCCGAGAAAATTAAGCAAAGTTCAGTTCAAGTTCGGTGCGAAACAATCACAGTTGAAGTAAATTTTAAAATTAAAATTTACAAAGTTACCACCATAACGAATTGTGATGAATTGTCCTTGGGCGTTTGACAGTGTATTCAATGGTTGGATCATAATCCAACATTTGTTTAATTGCGTTATACTGACTATGCTTCATCTTCTCGAAGAAGTTGTGAGCTGTCATGAGTATAAAGTTATGCACAGATGGAATATCCAGGTCGTTATGATTTATAGAGTTTCTCACGTACCAAGGTGCATTCACAATGCTACGTAGAATTTTATTTTGAAGTATATCCAATTTTTTGCGCTCAGTTTTATTGGCGATTGCCCATGCCGGCACTGCATATAGCATGATCGGTCGAATTAGAGATATGTAAAGCATTTTCTTTATTTTTAGACTGAGCTGCGATTTTTTGCCGATAATAGGATAAATTGCAATGTAGGCTGCATTTGCTTTGTTTAAGATATAAGAAATATGATCTTTGAAGTTGAGAGATTTATCTATGTAAACACCTAAATATTTATAGGAATTAGCTACAGGGATTAGAGTTCTATCTAAGTAGATATCAGTATTAACTCTTAATCTTGTTTTGTATCTCCGATAGAGAGCACAATACAACATTTAGAGGCGTTGAGCTTAATTTTCCAAGTCTTGCACCAGTGATTGATCATATTGAGATGCATTTGTAAATTACTTAGAGCGAGCTGGGGACTTCTGGATTCAGTCAGTACTACAGTGTCGTCAGCATATTTGAGTATTTTCGTGTTGAATGGGTGCGGGAAATCATTGATATAAACATTATAGAGCCGGGGGGAAAGAACGGATCCTTGCGGCACCCCGCTATGAATTCTTTTTCTGACAGATAAGGCGTCACCGCAGCGAACTTGAAAAGTCCTGTTTTTCAGATAGGAACTAATGAGTTTTACGAAACTGTTTGGAAGCATAAAATTATTCAATTTATGCAGGAGGCCTGCATGCCACACTCTATCAAAGGCCTTTTCGAAATCGAGATAGCATAAGCAAAAATGAAAACAGAATTTACTCAATTTATACGTACGCAAGTCACTCAGTTCACAGTTATTTACCATACACACACACACACAGAAGAAATTTAATATAAATTTGTATTCATTACCATTTCGAATTCAATTTGTTAAACAATACAGTCGAACTCGCTTACAATGAGGGCGAAGGGACCGCAAAATTTGCTTGTTATAACAGAGTGCTCATAAAAACGGGTTCGCGGAAAAAATCATAAAAATTCAGACATTTTTTATTTATTTATTTTTACACAATACAAAAGAATTTGGTTAACTGTCTTATTGCTCACTGCAGAAGACTCATGGCGAAAAACATTGCCATTTGCACCCCTGGCTTCGGAAAAGTTCTGCGCACTCAAACGCCGTTGAGTATGTTGGGGGCGGTTCAGCTTGAAATTCTTCACATTCCTTATAATCGCTACTTTCATCTTCCTTTAGCTTGAATTTCAAGTACAGTATCCTCGGGAGTATGTATCTCGGTATTAACGTCAACAGATGCATAATTTTGAAATTCTTCTCTACTCATTTCCAAATTTTCCAAGACTCCTACTTCTTCTTCCTCAGTTTTGCCTCTCTTGAGAAATGTTCAATCCAGCCTTACAGAAGAAATTGGTAATTGCATATTAATGTAATGTTTTCCCATGCATCGTTCATTGAGCGTACCGCTTTGAGTACATTTGCATTAGCATTTTAGGTTGTTCCTATTTTTTCTCTTCCGTAGAAAAGCGTCAAAATCAAGTTTGATTTAAAACTTCTGATAAACCCTTGGCCCACAGGCTGGATAACACTTTTAGAATTCAGTGATAAAAATTCAATCTTAATCACTTCCCAAGATAAAAAAAAAAAAGAGCCACTGTCACCTGTTTGTTCGCAGGATTTATGACTCGTCACTAACTTTCGGTTGAGTTCGGAATGTTAAAGAAATTTTTCCAAAAAAGGTTTGGTTTTGGTTTTATTAGATTACGGCAAAGCACTCAAGGGCTATCTGCCTAAGGGAGGGATGCCTTCGTGGAGAATTTTCTAAGGGAAACTGGCTCGTATCTGTACGTTACACATAGCGAAAAAGTACGAAAACGCCCATGTAGTCAGCCCGTTCCCCAGGAACCGAACCCAGGTACCGAACTACCAGTGTTCAGCGACGTTCCGCTCGGCCGCTGGTGAGCTTTTTTCAAACAAGATTAGCCGAGTTGGAGAGGTGGAAGTCAAGAGAAATTTTTATGAAACGCAAAACTACTGCACACTATAATCGGCGTTTGTTCGTTAAAAGCGAGTTATGCTCCCACAGACTTAACATTGTACCAATGAAATATTTCCGATTTCCTTATTAAATTTGGGTTCTCATTAAATTAGGGCTCATTATAAGAAAGTTGTACGGTATATAGAAACACAGAATAAATTCCTTTTAATCCGACTCTTTCTGGCATTCGCAATTTAGCAACTGCTGCTAATAATGCGTCAAACGCATTATCACGGCTAATGTGATCTCATTCTAAATTCTACTAGATATGACTTCACGAAATAATGAGATTCCCTGTGCATTCTGACATGCCATTTTGCTAATCCCCATAAGATGGAACAAGAGTTAAATACTTAATACAGTCAAGAGTCGTTAATTCGGACACCCATAATCCGGAATGATCTATAATCCGGACCTCAAAGCTAAAAACTTTCTGCGCATGCCCGCGTTGGCACATGCGCACAGGCGTTTTACGCGTGCGCGTAAGACCTGGACGACAGCGCATATGCGTGCGCGCAGGTGCAGAATACGTTTTCGCCTTCGCATTTATGTATAACGGACGGTGTAAGCTAAAATGATCTAATTTCTATTTCATTTATGTTAATGATTGCGTTTTCTTAATTTTCGAATTGGATCCCGCTATTATTTTTTGCAGACTGTTAAGCAATT